AAACTAGAAATCATTTTGAAGGCATGTTTAAATACAGTTAAATTAAAATTATTAAATTAAATCAATCTAAAATATGAACAATCAACGTCCCCTCTCAGTGGGCCGCGGTAAAGTTATCAAACGTTGACTGATGCGCGGCGATAAAAAGGTTGGGGACCACTGCTTAAGATGATAAAGTTATGATTATGATGAATGAATAGACATTTTTTACCTCACTATTTTAACTAAAACAGGGACAGGATACCGTTTAGAGATACTCTGCACAATTCTTTGCTCTGCCGTCCTAGCCAATTAGATTTCTTATTCGGTATGCTATACTGAAACTGATGATTCATAAATATTTTATCACTTGATGTAAATTTTGGTTTATAAATTATTTTCGGATGTTATATTTATTAAAATCTAATTTAATTTTTTAATAAAATTTTAGCCTTCTTTTGTTTCTCTTCAATTTATTTATCATTGTCGTCCTACTGATTGCGACCTGTTGGCCGTCTCTTCGTTTCTGGATAAAGAATTTCGTCAAGAAAGAAGAGAATCTCGATAAAATTTCTGTTGCATTCTTCCATCCGTACTGCAATGCCGGCGGAGGAGGAGAACGGGTTCTGTGGATTGCTATAAAGGCATTACAGGAAAAGTATGTGTACTAGTGTGTAATATATTAAAATAACAATTGGATTATTATTTGCTTTAATCAAAACACATATTAACAATTTAAATATTGCTTCTTTTAATTTTTGAAGGGTCCATTTCATATTAAAGATTTGAATTTGATATTAGAAGTTTGAGGGGATAATGCTTGAATTTTTTTAACATTAATCAGCAACGTACAATGTATACATTGCTGTAAAGCAGCGTCCAATTGATGGCTTTTGAATATAAACTTTTATATCTTTTAATAAAAATTTCTTTTATTCTACACTAAAATTGAAAAAAATAATATACAAAAAGATAAATGAAAGTGAACAAATGATAAGCTTTATATCTAAAATTTTCAAATTGATAAGTTTTTCCTTTTTATGTCAGAGCATGTAACATCTTTATTCACAATCTGATAAATTCTTACAAATGTCACATCGATACCATTTTAATAGATCAAAGAATTATTTATGAACAAAATTAGTTAAAACATAGGTGGAAATCTGTGGCCTTCAGACTGCACATGGTGTTTTGTGGCTTATTGTATGGCTCGATAAAGCATTTTAAATTTTGGATATTTGTTTTGCCTTCGTTTTTAGATAAATTAACAAAACATAGAATGTTTTCTGTTTTTTTCTTTCAATAAAGACAACATATATTATATTTAGACTGATATTCTTTGTATAATTGTGCCAAATGTTTGTACTTATGCAATTTTAATACAATATGCAGCTTTATGAGGTCCCTCTGAAATGAAATATGGCCTTTGATTACAAAAAATTCCCCATTTATGTTCTAGAATATTAGCAGAATAACTAAACACTGTATCACTAATGAGAAAAATGTAGATGGTGTGAGAATAATCACACTTTCTTCCCTTCTGAAGGTCATTTCAGACTATCGAAAATGTGTGAGAACTAAAATTGTACTGCATGTTAAAGGTCTGTGTAGTAGTGCTGTGATAATAATCTTAATATTTTATGAAATTACTTATTTTATTATGTGAAAATAAATTTGATATTTATTTTAACAGATATCCGCAAGTAAATTGTCATGTTTACACCGGAGATAGCGAAGTATCGGCAGAAGAGATTTTGCGGAATGTAGTAAAACGCTTCAACATTATCCTTCCAAGAGAAGTTAATTTTATTTTCTTGAAAAGAAGAAAATGGGTGGAAGCATATATGTATCCTTACTTCACATTATTGGGACAAAGTTTAGGTTCTTTATATTTAGGCTGGGAAGCTCTTTTCTCTTTTGTGCCTGACATTTACATTGACAGCATGGGCTATGCATTTACTTACCCACTTTTTAAGATTCTTGGAAATTGCCACGTTTTATGTTATGTCCATTATCCCACTATAAGTACCGACATGTTGGATAGAGTCGTGCAAAGAACCCAAACGTACAATAATCGTGGGATCATTGCAAAGTATCCTATTTTATCGACATTCAAGTTGTGGTATTATCGGATATTTTCTGCGTTATATGGTTTAACCGGAAGATTTTCAGACGTTGTGATGGTTAATTCTACATGGACAAAAAACCATATAGATAAAATATGGAAAATACCAGAAAGAACCAACTTAGTCTATCCTCCTTGTGATATTGAAGAATTTGAAAGCATTCCACTTGACAAGAAAGCACAGTTCAATTCCTTTAACATTCTGTCCATAGCACAGTTCAGACCAGAGAAAGATCATCCTCTACAAATCAGAAGTCTGGAGAAACTGTTACAGAAATTTAAAGAGGAGGAAAAGAAGAAAATTAAATTAATCTTAATGGGAAGCTGTCGTAACAAAGAAGATTTACAACGTGTCGAGGAGTTGCAATTGCTGAGTCGGAAACTGAATGTAGAAGACAACGTTGAATTTAAGATAAATGTTTCCTTTAAAGAATTAAAAATGGAAATGGAAAAGGCTATAATTGGTATTCATACAATGTGGAATGAACATTTTGGAATAGGTAAAACTTTAAATTTTTCTTTAATTTGTTAAAAGAAATTACTATAATTTCTTGTGTATACCTGCAGAAAATTGCTGAAACAAAACTTAAAAGTCACATAACCCATACCACTGTATAACCTCTGAAGTTCCCATTGAAAACACATCACTTAACTTAAATGCAATTTAGAAGGCATCCTCTCAGACATTCCTTTCATTTTATGTCTGTTAATAATTCATTGTACATATGTTTACAAAATAAGTAAAATTGAAAATAAAAAGAAAAATATTTGAGATGAACTGCCTAAAGTTTATTAAGTATGGAAAAAAATTAAGTATAATTATATCTTTTCAATGAAAGATGAGCTTTAGGAAATAGTTATGGCAATCAAACTGGATGCTGAAATTCTGTTTGTTCATCTAATCACAACTTAGAACATGTTAGTCATAAAACAAATTTTCATGTGTCTTATAATTTTTTAATACTAGCTGCAAGGACCCACTTCGCTGGGTTTTTATTTGTATGTAATATAGTTTTTTTTATATGTATAAAAGACTGTTTTTCTAAGTAATCTAGAATCTAGCTGCAAGGACCCGCTTTGCTGGGCAAAAAGTAACGATAGTGAAGATTAAGATAATTACATTATAGCTAATCTTACCCGTTTTCACAGAATGCAAGAATTAGGTCCCCCGTTTNCCAGCAGCCTGTGTTGGTTGGTACAGAATACATAAAGTGGCATTAAAAATTCAGAAAAAAAAAATAAATTTATTTAAATAAATTATAAAATTTTTTAAATTATACAAATTATTCAAGTGGAGAAGAAGAAAAAATAAAATAAAAAAAAAGTATACTATGTAATTAAAGGTTAATGATATGCTGCCATCTTTTGATTAATAATGTAAGTAATAATAAATAATAATAGTAATAATACAATTTTTAAGGAAAAATATATTTTATATTTTATTTAATTTTTTAGTTTGTTTTAATTATGTTTTAAATATATTTTTCAAATAATACATTATAATTGCCAAATACATTACTTATATTAGGAATTTCAGCATGATGTGTGGCTTAATAATTATGGATCTTGAGAAGCTTTGTGAAACTTATGTATAAAAGAATAAAATATTCTAAGATTTTATTATTTATATAGAAAATTAAATGCTCGTTGTCACCTTATCTAACATTACTTTTCAATAACTTAATCTCTAATTATGAAATGTTGTGAAAGATGCAAAGCATTGATGCCTCTAGCAAATGAAGAGAATCATTAACAGGCTTAAAATCACCTTGACATTTTAATTCCAGGGACTGTATTCTGCCGAAGGAAAATGCCTCTCGGGAGGCAGTGCCGGCCCGAGGCAAGTTTTAGGATGGAGCGAGATCCTATTACGGCGCCCCCTTGGTTGCCCCTAATACCCTTTAATTTTCTTTACCACTGAGGCGCCCCCTAAGGCTTAACGCCTGGAGCGGCTGCTCTGTTCGCCCTATGGTAGGGCCGGCTCTGTCGGGAGGACTTTTCTAAAGGAAATTGGTTACAAATGTGAAAAGAATCCGGAAAACTCCACTTGGCCGGTCCGTTGGCCAGGCGCGAACCAACAACCAATTACCAACGTTCAGTGATTTTTATTTTTACTCTTTCCGCCCTGTGGGCACTAACAGGGCCTCTTATAGCAGGCCCATTATGGGTTCGGCCTGGCCCACAATGAGGCGACCGGGTGGTGAGGGATGGGGTCCGACATATCCGAACGGACCACCCCCGAAAAATTTCTGGGGATTCCTTAACCCGTCCGGATTCGATCCCGGGTCCTCCAGAGCGGTAGGCCACCACCTTGACAGCATGGTCATCCGGCCGTCGAATGAATCCAGATATTGGAAAACTAAGAAGACGAAGGAAGATAGCGCTGGAAAGTTTCCGGTGAAAACAATTAATTTTACTGTACGTACTGTACATTAAATAAAAGCAATACTATAGCAATTATACATTGTTGAGTTGAATATTGCTTGGTTTAACAACTCGAAGTATTTCTGCTAATTATGTCGCCTTTACAATCCTCTAGAGCAGTGATGGGCAAACTACGGCCCGCGGGCCAGATGCGGCCCCCTGAAATGTTCTATCCGGCCCGCGCGACATTATTCCTAATCTGACGAGTAAAAAGGAATACAGGCTGTGGTGGTTGATGCACCACTTAACTTGAGTGTTCGTTGATTATATAAAATAACCGAAGCTTTATATCNTACAGGTCTTCAATTTTCAAATTGCAAACCTATAAAAGTAGTAGTAGTTTAAATCGAACTGATGCTAGAAGGAGACTCGAGCTGCACGTGACGAATTGCAAACCTACATTCACCCATTCCACTAAATTCTTAGATATTCTATATACATGTGTATAAACTAAGTTTTCTTATCATATCAAATCTTCTTCCTGTATTTATTTTAGTTTTTTTTAAATTTATTTATATAAAAGGTAGAGAAAGCTCGGGCCCGTGATTACCCTATCCGAAAGAAATTAAATGCATCATTGTACGGTACGCTTCGACCCCTTCCTCCCCACCGTGTACGATGGAGAGAAAGGAGTAGAGGCGTACAATGATGTACTGTACTTTTTGCAACCTCCTTCCTCTCTTAAACCGTACACGCACTTAATGGTGGTACCCAACCTCACAGACGTTTCTAATTTCATTGAGGATCAAGTATGGATGCAATTGGATCTGTTACGCTGGTACTTCACGTTGGTGCAGAATAAAATATAAATAATAAAATAAGAAATTTATATTTAAACTTATATACATGTGAATGAACTTGAAAGTTGCCATATTGGAACAATTATTAACGAAAATCTTGCTTGTTTATAATAAATGATACAGCTGTATTGGATAGATTTCATTTCCAAGAAGTGAAGCGTTGTGAAATATTCTTTGGTTGTGATGAAATATGAATTATTTTAAAAACATGAAAGTATGCTTACTAGAAATGTACAAAATTAAATTTTGTATTCCATCCTATTTAAATTCTAACAGGGATTTTACCATACGAAACGTCCAGGGTCGAATCTACACAAGCCATTGCTTAGGGCCTCACAATTATTTGATGGAGGAGGAAGAGCCTCTTACGTGTTGTAGGTTAAAGCCACAACAGATTTAATCCAATTTTATATTTTGGCATATATCCTAGTCAATTAATTTCTATGGCATTTCTAAAGATTTATTACAGGAATGGGCTTAATTACGAAAATATATTATAAAATTACGCATAAAATTTTTAAAAATCAACAAAATTAAAGCAATTACAGGGTAAGTTGCGAGGATGAAGATGGGTTTACGTGTCTGTAATTAAATTAATATAACCTTGGACTTATTATTAACTAATGTAGTGACCAGTCAACATTGTAAATGCCATCAGCACAAAATTGTTATGTTTTCACGTTACCATTACTTAATATCTATTAAATATTATTAAATGGATCACGTAAAAAAGTGGCCCAAAAGTCACTTGACTTAATTTAAAATAATAAGTCTGCTCTTATTCAGATACTTCATTATTTACAAACTTATACCTGGAACACACGTGTTAAAACGTGGTTAACGAATTTTCGGGCCATCCTACGCGTCATCTTAATAATAAAATGCAAATTTTAGATTATTAAATGTGTAATGAGGGTGATTTTTAAGGAATTGTAATAAATATTTGACCTTTATACACCAATCTTTACCTGCTTGTACTGTACCAATGTACTGTAATATAATACCAGGTATGTAAATCAAAGTTTAAGTGTGTATGTTATATTCTAATATCGAATTACATGAATTTTAAGATATTTTACTTAAACGATATCCTCTAAGTTTTATTTTATTTGTTAATTTTAAACATTTCTCGAGTTTTTAACCTAATTTATACGTAATTGCCCTCGTTTTGCGCGTATTATACACGGCTGCTGAACCACGTGGTTTTGTAAACGAAGACCACGTGGATAGCGGCGCGATTATACATAAATGACACATAAAAATAAACATTAATACTGATACACTAAGCTTTAAATGTATAAAACACAAAAATTTCCGCGTTATAGAGGAGGTAATTACAAATAAAAAGGTCTGTGGCAATACTAAAAGGTGCAGTAAACTGTAGAAAATACGTCTTTCTTGTACTCACAATGTAGGAAGTGTGTCCAAAGTACTCCAGTTTGATAATTCCTTCGGGGTCGAAAGGAGATTTTCGATTACGTGAGTCGAGGCACGCACGCAATTTGATAGTTATCAAAACCGGATGTCTTATATATAGATATTACCGCTGACGTCACACCTATGATGCTTACTTAGTTTTCTACAGATATCGCCTCATTGGTCCTAATGTCACTTCATTATAACGTAATTTATGCAATAATTTTGAATGAATTTTCGATTTAGAAGGCTTCTGAATCTATATTTTACAATCCAGTGACACCATTTTGTTAAACAACCAGCAGCCTGTGTTGGTTGGTACAGAATACATAAAGTGGCATTAAAAATTCAGAAAAAAATAAATAAATTTATTTAAATAAATTATAAAACTTTTTAAAATTATACAAATTATTCAAGTGGAGAAGAAGAAGAAAAAAATAAAATAAAATAAAAAATATAGTATGTAATTAATGTAATTATAGGTTAATGATATGCTGCCATCTTTTGATTAATAATGTAAGTAATAATAAATAATAATAGTAATAATACAATTTTTAAGGAAAAATATAGTTTATATTTTATTTAATTTTTTAGTTTGTTTTAATTATGTTTTAAAGATATTTTTCAAATAATACATTATAATTGCCAAATACATTACTTATATTAGGAATTTCAACATGATATGTGGCTTAATGATTATGGATCTTGAGAAGCTTTGTGAAACTTATGTATAAAAGAATAAAATATTCTAAGATTTTATTATTTATATAAAAAGATAAGGTGACAACGAGCATTTAACATTACTTTTCAATAACTTAATCCCTAATTATGAAATGTTGTGAAAGATGCAATGCATGGAT